ACCTACCTTATTCATTTTAATCCATTGAGAATTTGTGTATATTATGAGTGTGACTCTATAATTCCAAAAGGAATAGTCAATTTTTCCTTTTCCTTTATGGAATTACTCATCCTTTCCCTATGACTTTGAATGTCATCTTTATCATATTACATAATTACACATTTGGACACATTTTGAAGTATTTTTTTCTTATTTATCCACTCTCGCCATTTCCAGATTGTACTGATTTAGATCTTGTTTTTCTATCTGATTGGAGTATTTCCCCAACAACTTGTCTCACAGACTTGTCCCAGTACTCTCCTCAGTGAAAACAGGTAAATTGGGTTTTTATTGAAATTGCAGCATAATAATCTGTTAGGACATTATATTTCCATTATACTAAGTCTTTCTCTTTGGGAAGAATTCTCCATTCATTAAGCTCATCTTTTTTTAAAATATATTTTTATTGATTTCAGACAGGGAGAGAGAAGGAGAGAGAAATAGAAACATAAATGATGACAGAGAATTATTGATCGGCTGCCTCCTGCACGCCCCCTACTGGGGATGGAGCCTACAATCCAGACATGTGCCCTTGACTGGAATTGAACCTGGGACCCTTCAGTATGCAGGCCAACGCTCTACCCACTGAGCCAAATTGGCTAGGGCCATTATGCTCATCTTTGTATTCTTTATTATAATTTAAAATTCTTCAGTTACATCCTGGATTCTAACTACATGGTCATATCTGCAAATAGTGATTTTCCAGTAATTGAACTACTTCATTTTCCTTTTTGATGATTGACTAGATAACAGTGGTCTACAAGTGGACCCACATCTACCCTGAGGGACACAGACTGCTCAGGTGGTTCATGGTCAGGGGCGTCAGGCTCCACATCCTCAGCTTCCTGTGGTCCTTCCTAGCACTGCTCTGCCTGCCATCAGGGCAGCTCTGTGCCAGGTGCCTCTCTCCTTCCTCACAGAAGAAAGGCATCTCTCTCATTCTTATTTTGCTGCCGTGCATTGCACCAGGATATTAAAAAATATCGGGGGTGCCCTGACTGGTTTGGCTCAGTGGATAGAGCGTTAGCCTCAGATCGAAGGGTCTCAGGTTTGATTCCAGTCAATGGCATGTACCTTGGTTGTGGGCACATCCCCAGTAGGGGGTATGTAGGAGGCAGCTGATAGATGTTTCTCTCTCATCAATGTTTCTGACTCTCTATCCCTCTCCCTTCCTTTCTGTAAAAAATCAATAAAATATATATTTTTTAAAAATATCTGGGGTGCCAAATGTAGGGACAATTCAAAATATAGGTGTCTGTCTTAAGAAGGTGAATGACTAGCAACTGAATTACAAATAGTGTTACAAACAGTAAAAGTCTCATATTCTTTGTTGCTAGCAAAACAAAACTGCAGGAATTCATGCACTTGTCAGCTCAGGAAAAATAACTCATAAAAGATCATTTTGTGATTTGATTTTTCTTGCATGAAATTAAAGAACTTCAAAGATTAGCGACACTAAAAATAAAACCCCTTTCCTTCTTTTTCATGTACGTGAACATGATTTCTTTTGCTTTTGCCTGCGAAACCTACCAGAACTGTGTTATACCTCTTATTGCGGAGGTGATGGTTTAATTCTATGACTGGAGGTGCTCTTCTTAATAACTTTTCCTCTGTGTTTTTAATAACAAATTTGTAATATGTTTGCCTTCGACCCTTTGGACTGCTTTAACAAAACACCACAGACTGGGAGGCTTATAAATAGCAGAAATTTATGGCTCTCTGTTCTGGAGGCTGGGAGCCTGAGGTCAAGGAGCCAGCACCGTCAGTGGGTGCCTCTTCCTGGTGACAGACTTCCTGTTTTATCCTCCCTTGGGGAAAAGAGCAAGGGTGCTTTGTGGATCTCTTTTAGAAGAGATTAATCCCATTCATTAGTGCTCAGTCCTCAGATTGATCACCTCCTGAAGATCCCACCTCCTAATACTATCACTTAGGGGTAGGATTTCAACATATGAATTTTGGGGGAAACAGAAACATTCAGACCATAGCAATGTTGTTTTGGTCTCATGTATATTAATTGTAATTGTAATCCAGTTTAGAAGAAATTTTATAGTTAGAGCATTATAGTTAAAGAATTTTCCTTAAGCAACAATTCCAAAAACCAAACTTATCAATTCAATAAACAATTGCATAGATGAGCAAAAAACACTTTCATGCATAACATATTAAGACACAATTCATGAGAGATTGGATGGAATAAAAAAACAGACTAAAGAAGAAATGAGGAAGGTGGGGGCGACTGGTAAGAGGTCAATGGGAGGAAAAGGAGACTTATAAAATACTTTAAATAATAAAGAATTTTTTAAAATGAAATGAATTTTTGACAATTAAAGAAGAGTTTATGTGCATCTTGGATGGTGGTGGTCAAGATTCAGATTCATACATACATTTAAAAGTGGAGAAACAGTTCTTTTGTTTTGTTTTTTTCTTAATCCTCACCCAAGGATATTTTTCCCATTGATTTTTAGAGATAGTGGAAGGGAGAAAGGGAGAGAGAGAGAGATTGAGAGGGAGAGAGAAAGAAACATTGATGTGAAATAGACACATGGAATGGTTGCCTCCCAACAGGGACCAGGAATGAACCTGCAACCCAGGTACACCTTGACTAGAAATCAAACCCGAGACCCTTTAGTGCCTGGGTCCATGTTCTAACCATTTAGCAACACTGGCCAGGGCAAGAAGCAGTTTTTTGAAGGGTCAGCATTTGCAGTATGTCAGAAAGTGCATTCTTTGCGACTATTTTAATATGATGGAAACCTATGGAAGTCTAATTACTGTGTTTCCCCGAAAATAAGACATCCTCCAAAAATAAGACCTACTTACAGGTTTCCTTACAGGCATCCCCCGAAAATAAGCCGCCCCCAGGCTAAACATGAGAGATCTGGTCCACTGATTCTGAAAGAAATGGAGTCACAAGAAATTCACCAGGAAATTCAGGAATTGGATTGTTATGATGTTCCAGAAGATGATGACATGATTGTCACTGAATAAATGAGTAAATTCTTGATACTGTAGGATTCACAGTTTGTCTGGTTTGTGTTGACAACTACCGTACTACCGTACCGTATACAGGAGATAAATTTCCTTTATTTTCATTTAACAATAAATGTGTACCGTATTCTTCTTCATGGAAAAATAAGACATCCCCTGAAAATAAGACCTAGCGCATCTTTGGGAGCAAAAATTAATATAATATAATTAATATACACTGTCTTATTTTCGGGGAAACAGGGTAATATGGAAGTATCGAGTTGTCTCCAAAAATATTATGATGTTTGAGATGAGATCAAAGGATAACACTGAAAACCATCTGGCCTTTAGTGAAAGTGCTTTGGTTACTTCATTGTTTCTTATGTTCTTTGCTATTTGCTGATACTCCCTTTTAGAATCAGCATTTCTATCTTCTGAGAAATTGTTATCAGAAATTGCTATTGAATTTTGTGAAATGCATTTCAGCATTTACTGGTAAATGTGACTTTCTACTTTCCTTTATTAATATGATAAAGTCCATTGATTTTTTCCAACTTGAATCCATCCTTGTGTTTTTGAAATAAACACTCATAGACATCTTTATTATATTAAGCTGTATGATCATTTTTGAGCAAGGGTAGGATTCAGTTTTGGTAAGAGAATGAATGCCTTTCTTTACAGGAGATGAAAGTTCAAGTATTTAGGCAAGAACTACATAAAGTCTGCCACTTACCCTCCAAAGACTCCGCAAACAATAACAGCAATAATAATAAATTACATTAACATGCACCAAGGTTTCCACAAAATGTTAGTTTGTGGAGACTAAGAAAGGTAAGTGAAGGTAGTGTTCTTTGGATTTTAACCTTTTACACACTTGCAAATTGTGATTAGAGGCTTAAAAAAGATAAAGATTTATTTTCTCATTATGTTCGGAACTTTAACATGTATATTGCAAGGTTAGACCATGCCCCCATTTTTCTGAGGGGATTTTTAGGCTTTTTAGGATTTTTAGGGTAACATTTACGTTGCCAAAAGGTACCTTTGCAAAGCTTCCAGAGCTCAAAGCAACAGGTTACTCAGACCCTCCTCATGTGGAGGCATCAATACATTCCTCATCCGGAGTGATTTGTCTGCTCACTGCAAGTTTCCATCACTTTCTGATTCAATTTTGGCAACTTTTCAAGAAAACTATCCCTTTAACCTAAATTATTAAATATTTTTACATAAAGCTGTAGGTTACCTTTTTAAATAATTCTTCATCCCTGACTATATTTCTTATATTGTTCACAAATGCTTTTTTAATTGTCTTGACAGAGTTGATCTATTTGTCAGTATTTCCAAGAACAAGCTTTTTGTTTTACCCATCAGTCCTAGATCTGTTTGATTTACAATTTAATTTAGGCTTTTCTTATTAAATTCCTCCCCTATTCCCATTAATTTGATTTATTTATAGTTCCTGAGATTGAATGCATGTTTTGAGTCTTGCTAATATAGAAAGCACTTATGTTTTATTTAGAAAAATTAAAGAGACATGCCTTAAAGAAAACAAATCTCTTGAATGGCATCATAGACAAAGTTATGATAAGTGACAGATTAGGAGAACACACAGGGTGTCTCAAAAAATGCACATACACTAACACCCGAGAGCTCAATTTTGAAAATGAAATGCATTTTAGTAAACACTGCCTTTGTAATTATTCAAAGTGTGTGTGTGTACATTTTTTGGAATACCCTATATTTTACACAGATAGAAGAAAAGCATTAATATCCCTCATAAACAAAGAGCACAGACAAATTAGGAAGAAAGTAAGGAAATAGACAAAGGGCATAACAGGAAATTCACATCTGAGGAATTATAATGGTCAGTGAATCTAAAAAGACGTCCCTGGTCTAATTTAGGAATAAGAAAAAAGCATTTATAATGATTTCCAAGCACATATAATCACTACAGTTATATGTTAAAAAAAAGAAAAAAGAAAAGTAGATTCCTTTACCTTGGTTAATGCAGCTCTTGAATAACCAGAAAAGTCAAACGCCTTTCAAGACGAGATGCCAAATACAGCTGTTTGTGTTTCTTTTATACGAGATAGGATCTTGTTTGGATAATTGCGATAATGTGGGTTCTCATGAAAGGCCATTTTCACCCATCAGCATAACTTTTTCTCAATCAAGCCAATGATTAAGATCCTGAGGGGCTGAGCAAACTCCTTGAGAGAGAGACTGGCCCTTGCTGGTTTGGCTCAGTGGTTGGGGCATCAGCCCACAGACTGAATGGCCTGGGGTTCGATTCTGTTCAAGGGCACGTGCCTCAGTTACAGGCTTGATTCCCCTGGTCAGGGTGAGTGTGGGAAGCAACCAATCAATGTGTCTCTCACACATTGATGTTTCTCTCTCTCTCCCCATCCCTTCCACTCTCTCTAAAAATCAATGAGAAAAATATCCTCAGGTGACGATTAAGAGAGAGAGACTCGTGGACACCTGTTATATGATATCAATGATCATGTTGGATGTTGGTCTGGTCCAGCCTCCTCAGCTGCCACCACTTTATACCAGAGTTTCCCAACTTCTCTGAGCCTGAGAATTCTCCAGAGCCTTGTCAAAAGCACAATTCACCTGGTGCTTCATGGAGCACGCAGCAGCAGAACCAGGGGCATGTATTTCCCAGAGCACTCAGGAGCTTCTTTATGGGCAAAGACTTGGGAAACATTGCTTAAACTCATCATTCTGTGCTTCTTTATTCACAGCTTCATGGAGTTGAGTTTTAAAAAACTGCACATATAATGTGTACACATCAATGAATTTGACATCGTATGTATTCATAAAATCATCAACCTAATTAAGAAGCACATCCATCACCACAAACGTTTCTGTGCCTCCCTCCTCTCTACCCAGGCAACCACTAATAGGTTTTCTTTCTCTGTAGATAATTCATCTTGTTCTACGTACTTTTCTGACTGCTTTCACTCAGCATAAATATAGGGTGTACAAAAAAATGAATACACACACTTTGAATAGGTATAAAGGTAGTGTTTATTAAAAATACATTTCATTTTCAAAGTTGAGCTACCCTGGCCCTCACCAGTATGACTCAATGGCCACAGGTTTGATTCCTGGTCAAGGGCATGTTCCCGGGTTGCATCATTGATCTCTGGCCCTGGTCGGGACTCGTGTGCAGGAGGCAGCCAATTGATGAGTCTAACTCATCTCTTTTCTGTCCTCCATCCCTTCCATTCTATCTAAAATCAATGGGAAAAAAATAGCCTCAGGTGAGGATTAACAAAAAGAAGAAAAGAAAAAAAAAAGCTACCTTGTAGTTTGAAATTGGTCTATGTGGTTTTGAGTATCAACAGTTCATTTTCATGTTGAGCTGCATTTCATGTTATGGATATGTCACAGTTTGTATATGCATTCTCTTTTTGATATTCAGTCTGTTTCCAGCTTGGACCATTACAAGTAATTTTAGATAATTAAAGAGATACAATGAGGGAGTGATTACTTTTTCTTTAAAACAGTTTTATTAAAAAAAAAAAAAAACTTGAAACTATAGATGGTAGGGGGGAGGAGGCAAATCCCTGTGCATATGGAAAAAGATAGAAAATATACCATCTTTATGTCAAGAAGTGGGCCTTTGGCCCAGCCAATACGACTTAGTGGTTGAGCACCAACCTATGAACCAAGAGGTCATGGTTCAATTCCTAGTCTAGGCACATGCTCCAGTGTGGGGCATCCGGGAGTTAGCCAATCAATGATTCTCTCTCATCACTGATGTTTCTGTTTCTCTCCCTCTCCCTTCCTCTCTGAAATTAATACAAATATTTTTAAGGTATGTTTTTTGTTGTATTGCTCCCTGCACTCTGTGTTCTGTAGTCCTCTGAGTGTGCAGGTCATGGCAGATGCATTCCTCACAGGCTCTAATTTCTGGGCTCTCCCTTTATTTCCAGAGTGAGGCATGAGGGGGCCGGGGGCTGTTGAATGGGCTTATTAATGGGTAGAATATCTAGGAGTGGGAAGCATAGTAAGTCACATTTCATTGTGGAGTTCCCAATGTCAATTAAGAAGGAAGGACTTCGGCTGGTTGTCTCAGGAAAGAATCTGAGCTGAAAGAATGAGAGCGCCAGCAAAAAAGGAGACACAGCCCTGGCCAGATTGGATAGATAGTCTCCCAATATGCAGGTTATGGACTTGGGTCGATTCCTGGTCAGAGCACATACAAGAATCAACCAATGAATGCATTAATAAGTGAAACACTACTTGATGCTTCCTCTCTCTAAAAATCAATAAAAATTTCGCTCTGGCTGGTGGGGTTCAGTGGTTAGAGCAGCGGCCGGTGCACCCAAGGGTTGTGAGTTTGATTCCTAGTCAAGGGCATGTACTTGGGTTGCAGGTTCCATCTTTGGCCCCAGGTGGGGCTCGTGCCAAAGGATAACCAATTGATATGTGATGTGTGTCCCTCTCTCTTCCCTTTCCTCCATCCCTCCCTCTCAAAAGGTCAATGGAAAAATATGCTTGAGTGAGAATTAACGAAACAATAAGACACATATTCTGCACAACCCAGGACCTGGTGCTTTTCCTGGCTAGCATTTTTGGCTCAGTAAAACCTTTCAGAAAAACTTTCTGCCTCAAAGGCTATTGTTTAACAAGCATGTGGGCCCTGGCCCAGGTAGCTGGGTTGGTTAGAGCTTTGCAGAGATACACTAAGGTTTCAGATTCAGTCCCGGATGAGGGCACATACAAGAATCAACCAAGGAATGCATAAAAAATGGAACAACAAATCTCCTTTTTTCCCTTCTCTCCTTTCCTCTTTCTCTAAAAATCCAGGAATAACATTAAAAAAAAAAAAAAAAAAAAGGAGGCATACTCACATGAGTCCATTCATATTAGAGATTGTGATTTTTATGGAAATCTTGTCAACTTATATGATTTATTCCAACACATTTACCTTCATGGACTCATGTACATGACAGTTTGTCATGTTTAAATGTGACCACACAGGTAGAATCTTAAGGGGGTAAAAGGTGAGTATTTCAGAGAGAGAACCCACAGGGGACAAGGAGAAAGTCAAGGTGCTGTGAGATAATGAGGTGAGCTTGGCATCAAAGCGTCAGAGAAATCCATCATATTGGAGAACTTTCAGGTGGGAGATAGAGGAGGAAGGGATGAATGATAACTGCAGTATGGTAAGAGAATGGGGTTCTGGAGCATGTTTTGAGGTCTCACAGATGGCAGTGGTGACAATGGACAGGATACAACCATGGAACTAGGAAACTTTCAGGGAGAAGAACAGGACACTGCAGGTGAGAAGAGCTGAGCTGGGGCTCCTGTGGTCACCTCTGTGCACAGTAAAATCTGCAGCAGAAGCCCAGCTGATGTGTCTCAGTGGTTGAGCATATACAATAGAAAAAGATAGAAAATATACCATCTTTATGTCAAGAAGTGGGCCTTTGGCCCAGCCAATACGACTTAGTGGTTGAGCACCAACCTATGAACCAGGAGATCGAGGTTCAATTCCAATCAGGGCACATACCTACCCTGTTTCCCTGAAAATAAGACAGTGTCTTATATTTTTTTCTCACAAAGTTGCACTAGGTCTTATTTTCAGGGGATGTCTTATCTTTCCATGCGCTAGTTCTTATTTTCGGAGGATGTCTTATTTTTGGGGAAACATGGTAGGTTGTGGGCTTGATCCCCAGTGTAGGCGTGCAGGAGGCAGCCAATCAGTGATTCTCATTATTTATGTTTCTATCTCTCTCTCCTTCTCCCTTCCTCTCTGAAATTATATATATAATTTAATCAGCAGGAGTTGACATGAAGAGGCAGAGTGAGACAGCAGCTGGATCTTCAATGATGGTAGAAAGAGAGCAAGAAGGATGGGAGGGGCAGCAACCAGGAGAAAACTACTGAGCCAAATGAATTTTTTTTAATTTTATTTAGAGGAGACATAGGAAGGGGAGAGAAAGAAACATGGACTTGTTCCCCTCATCTGGGACCTGACTGGGGATCAAATAGCTAATCTTGGTGTAGAGAGACGATGCTCTATAACCAACTCATCTTACGTCTGTGGGTTATATCTGTGGGTTATATCCCTGTGAGGGCCAGATGACATGAATTTGAAAGCAGGAAGAATTCTCTCAGAGGCAATAGGGAACAAACCAGAACATCCAAAAGCAGACAAAGTTTGTGAAACCCAAATTTATTTGTTTAAAAATGCTCAAGAGACTTAAAAAAGGCCCAAAGCCCAATGGCGTCCAGGTTTAATTTCAGATCATCCTGATGTGGAGTACTTCCGCTTCTTCTTTTGTGCGGCATCGATTTGATCCTTGTCAATGAGACACCTTGGCAATTCCAGTTGGATCGTGGCGTCATCTTGTGACTCCCAGTATCTGTCATAAATGGCCATCAGGTTATGAACGATGAGAAACGTAATACCAGAAATAATCACTGTCAATGAAAGAAAGTTCTATGACTAATAGAAAGCCATCGCAACAATTCCAAAAACCAAATTCATCAATTCAATAAACAAACCGAGACGTCTGCAGATTTTACTTGAATATCCTTTCTGAATCATTCTTTTCAACCAGGCCCATTGATGATCAATTTGAGTAAGGGAGATCATGATGAGTGTCACCTGCAAAGACTAAGGCACAAAGGAAATTAAGGTCAGATAGGTCGAAAGGTTGACTATGGATCTCTCTCACCGTCTGATAGCATGGTGCTTTTAGACGAAGTTTTTCATTCCACGCATTGTGAGTCATTAAGTGTATCCTGGCGGTACAATATAAAGGGCTAATGGCTAGACAACCTGGAGATTGATTTTCAAGGGAGATAGCTAGAAAATCAGAGATAATCAGTATATATTCTTAATTTACTTTATTTCATTTTTATACACGTTGAGATTTTATAAAATATATTTTTATTGATTTCAGAGAGGAAAGAAGAGGGAGAGAGAGAGAGAGAGAGAATCATTGATCATCTGCCTCTGCACCCCCCCCAAACCCAGGCATGGGCTCTTGACCAGAATCGAACCCAGGACCCTTTAGTCCACAGACTGATGCTCTATCCACTGAGCCAAACTGGCTAGAGCTTAATTTATTGTACTTTAAATACTTCTTTCAATAACCTTCATGATGCTGTCTCTTACAAGCACCTCGATCGTTTCCAGGGAGACCACCTCAGATTTGGGATATAACCCACAGACATAAACTCAGGAAAACATTGCATTTTACTGGAATATCTATCTATACTACTTGTAGTATTTTTAAGACTATTATACCAATTCATATTTACCTGGACTGGAACAGAAAGCAAGAACTATGTCAATTTAGACACAGATATCATGGAACACATGCTAAAAGCAACATGCACTCCAAAGGTTAACAAGGGACTGTGAACTCCCCAGCACAGGGTCCTGTTTCCCCTCCTCTGCCAGTGGAAGGACCTGGGTGCAATTTGACACTAAGAGGGAAGAAGCTTCCATATTTCTCACTGATGCCCTTGCCCTTGCTCTTGCCTGAGTGAACTGAGGGGGATTTTTTAAATATATATATGTTTTATTGATTTTTTACAGAGAGGAAGGGAGAAGAATAGAGTTAGAAACATCAGTGAGAGAGAAACATCTATCAGCTGCCCCCTGCACACACCCCCCCCACTGGGGATGTGCCCGCAACCAAGGTATATGCCCTTGACTGGAATCAAACCTGGGACCTTTCAGTCCGCAGGCTGAGGCTCTATCCACTGAGCCAAACCGGTTTCGGCTGAAGGGGGATTTTTAAGTTCATCAGACTTGAAAAGGTTCACTTGGGAGGGGCAGAGACAGCCAGCAGGTAGCTCTTGTCTTGGCTGACATTTTCAGACAGAGGAGCTGCCTGCTGTCTCAGGACCATCTGTAGATGGATGTGGTTTCTAATTAATGTGGTGAAGAGCCAAAATCTCAACTGACTCAAAGGAGTCACCTCTTCCCTTTATTATTATCTCTTATATTTCAAGCATATACCCATTGGACCAGTGAAGCCTGGCTCTTTGTAAGATTTATTTAAAGAAACAAAACATTTCAAGAACATTTCAACAAATTTTTTTTTTAAATAACATTATGATTTTTTTAAAATATATATTTTAATGATTTTTCACAGAGAGGAAGAGAGAGAGAGTTAGAAACATCGATGAGAGAGAATCATCGATCAGCTGCCTCTTGCACACCCCCTACTGGGGATGTGCCCGCAACCAAGGTACATGCCCTTACCCAGAATCGAACCCAGGACCTTTCAGTCCGCAGGCCGACGCTCTATCCACTGAGCCAAACCGGTCCTGGCCATTTCAACAAATTTTTTTAAGTAGCAATGCCTCATCACAAGATTAAGTGCTGTGTTCTGATACCTATTGTGTTCATGTTAATCCATTGATATTTATCTCCAAAATAAATAATCAAGTATTTCTATCCCACTTATGAGGTTTTTTCCCCCCAGTATTTTGAAATGTCACCTGTGTCATATTAAAAAACTGTAATCCTTGGATACATTATAAAATATTTTTATTTAATCATTTGCTAGCTCCAAATTGTGCTGATTTAGGTCCAGACACACATATATATATATATATATATATATATATATATATATATATCTATATATATATATATATATATATATATATAATAAATTTCAGAGAGGAAGACAGAAGGAGAAAGAAAGAGAAATATCAAGGATGAGAGAGAGGTAGTAACAGCTGCAGCAACACAACATTGACTCGCAGAGATGACGGCAGCTGCAGCTGAACCTGCAACAACCCAAAGGTTTTGCCCGAGCTTCTCAGATGCTCTGATTGACGAGGACCCCCAGGCGGCCTTAGAGGAGCTGACTAAGGCTTTGGAACAGAAACCAGATGATGCACAATATTATTGTCAAAGAGCTTATTGTCACATCCTTCTTGGGAATTACTCTGATGCTGTTGCTGATGCAAAGAAATCTCTTGAATTTAATCCTAATAATACTGCTATGATGAGAAAAGGGATATGTGAATACCATAAAAAAATTAAAAAAAAAAAACTATGCTGCTGCTCTGGAAACATTTACAGAAGGACAGAAATTAGATAGTGCGGATGCTGATTTTATTGTCTGGATTAAAAGGTGTCAAGAAACTCAGAATGAGTTACAATCAACGGCGTCTGCATCCCAGAGGAATTCTCAGCCAAAAATCAAGTATGACTGGTATCAAACAAAATCTCAAGTAATCATTACACTTATGATCAAGAATGTTCAGCAGAATGACGTAAATGTGGAATTTTCAGAAAAAGAGTTGTCTGCTTTGGTGAAACTTCCTGCTGAAGAGGATTACAATTTGAATCTGAGACTTCTTCATTCTATAACACCAGAACAGAGCATGTTTAAAGTTCTTTCAACAAAGATTGAAATTAAAATGAAAAAGTTAGAGGCTGTGAGATGGGAAAAGCTAGAGCGAGAAGAAGTGCCTAAGCCAAAACAATTCATAGCAGATGTAAAGAACCTATATCCATCATCATCTCTTTATACAAGAAATTGGGATAAATTGGTTGGAGAAATCAAGGAAGAAGAAAAGAATGAGAAGTTGGGGGGAGATGCAGCTTTAAACAAATTATTTCAACAGATCTATTCAGATGGTTCTAATGAAGTGAAATGTGCCATGAACAAATCATTTATGGAGTTTGGTGGTACAGTTTTGAGTACCAACTGGTCTGATGTAGGTAAAAGAAAAGTTGAAATCAACCCTCCTGATGATATGGAATGGAAAAAGTACTAAATAAATTTGCTATTACTGTATTGCATACATTCACCTAATGCCCATTGTGTATTATTAATATTGCATTCTTGAATTTTGAACACTGAGTATCTTTTTCAAAGACTTATACCTTTTTACCTCTCTGTGCTTTAGAAATTATTTTCCTTCAAGTGTTCAAAGAATCTAATGAAGAATATAGGTCATATTTTATCACTCTATCCTTAAGGATTTTAGACTTGCTGAGATGGAGTGAGGTATCATTTGCTACTAGATAGACTAGTTCTATCTAGTTGTGGGAACAGAGAAATTGTTCATGGGGTATCTTGGGTTATTGCCTTATTTTTGATGCAGTGTTCTGTTAATTTATCAGACTTGGCAACTTTGGGTGAGCATATAATAGATTTTTCAACTTCAGTGTTATATTGTTTGCTTTAAAATTGCTTTTGAATAGAATTGTAAATACAATTTTTTTCTGTGAAGAAAAAAAAAAAAAGGATGAGAGAGAATCATTGGATAGCTGCCTCCTACATGACCCCCCACTGTGTGTGCCCTGATCTGGAATCAAACCATGACCTCCTGGTTCATAGGTCCACGCTCAACCACTGAACCACCGTGGCAAGGCTAGGCCCTGTTTTGTGATCTCATTGGAAGTGCCCCCATCACCTTGTCTTTTAAACTTTGCCTGCACCACCTACAGCATATTTAGGTAAGTTTCAGTTTTAATTGGAATTACAACAAAACAATTTCATAGGAAGACATAGTATTTTCATAATACTAAGCTTTTCTTCTCAGAAAAAGCTCTTCACTAATCAAGTTCATCTTTATATTCTTATTTACCTCTTTATGCTTATTACCCATTTAACACCTATGTCTCTGCTATTTATTTTAATTTATACTATATAATAATTTTATTATATAATCATAAGTATTATATAGAATAACTAGGAATTTTATAAGTTCTATTTCTTACTGATGATTTATTCCCATAAAAAAAAACACTAAATGTTTTGTTTCTTTTGCTTTGTTAATCCTCACCCGAGGATATTTTTCCATTGATTTTTGGGAAGAGTGGAAGAGAGAGAGAAAGAAACAGAAACGTCAGTGTGAGAAAAACACATCGATTGGTTACCTCCTGCACAAGCTCTGAACAGGGCCTGAGTGGGAAAGGAGCCTGAAATCAAGGTATAAGCCCTGGACGGGAATTGAACCCAGGACCCCTTAGCCCACAAGTCAGCGCTCTATCCACTGAGCCAAACCATCTAGGGCACTACTACATTTTTATACCATTATTTATCACTAGCCATTTTCATTTTTGACATTCTAAAATTCTTCAGTTACATCCTGGATTTGCAAGGTATACTGTCATTTCCACAAATCATCATTTTTCCAATAGACACCATTTTCCTTCCTTAACACATTGTCTAACACGGTCTTCAAGTGGACCCACACCTACCCTTGAGGGACACAGACCGCTCAGGGGGCTCATGGTCGGGAGCTCCTCAGGCTCCACACCTCAGCTTCCTGTGGTCCTTCTTGCCACTGCTCTGCCTGCAGTGAGGGCAGCTGTGCCAGGTGCCTCTCCGCCTCCTCACAGAGGAAAGGCATCTCTCTCGTTCTTACTTATCTTGCTGTGCTGCACTGCACTGGGGAATTAAAAAATATCTGGGATGCTGAAAGTAAACTACCTATATTTTGACTTGTGCCTCAATTAAATACCTAACAACCAGATAAAAAGTTTGTCATTAGACATCTTATGTTTTGCAGTTAACAAAGTGGAGGAATTAATAGCGTTGTCAACTCATTAAAAAAAAATCTATAAAAAGCATTGATTTTTGCATGTAACCTTGAAGAAGTTCAGAGAATTCAGAAACACTGGCCTAATGAGACTCCATTGTCATTTTTAATGCAATGTGACCAAGATTGCATTTGCTCCTGTTTGAAAAAAAATAAAAGTAGCGAGAATAGATGCTGCACCTGATCTCACTCTAGCTGTGATAGTTCTTCATGTACATGTGCACTAACAGAAAAGGGAAAAAAAAGAATAGAGCAAAGGAAAGGAAAGAAAAAAAGCAGTCACATTGCATGACAGGAGGAGCAGCTCTGAACCAAAATTTTTCTTTCATGTTTAAGAACATTTCTTATATATTGTTTGGATCACTCCACACTAATTGTAACTGTAACTTAGTTGAGAAGAAATTTAACCTTAGAGCAATATGCTCACAAGAAATTTTGAAATGAAAATGTCACATGTACTTTTGTTACCAGAGACATGATATAGTGGTCAACAAGAACTTAAAGCATATTATATTAGGATACATTCTGGGGAGAGTGAATAGAATGCATCCAGGAAAGCAAGAAAAATAAAGGGATGAAAGTTTCAGAGTGTGAAAGAAGAGCTTGTTCAGGTGTATTTTAAGTGGATAATGTCATTGAAGAGTCAGACTGAATGCATACATTTGAAAGTGGTGGAGCAGTTATCTATGAGTTTATTTCTGTTGATTATTTTTTAGATTTCACATATAAATGAAATCATACAGTATTTGTCTTTTTCCGTTTGACATATTTCACTTAACATATACCCTCTAGGTCTATCCAAGCTGTTGAAAATGGCAAGATTTCATTTTTTTATGGCTAATATTTTTATATATCAGATCTTCTGTAGCCATTCATCTATCAATGGACACATCTTTATGGCTGCCAGATGAAAGGGGATTGGAGAATGGATGAAAAGGTGAAGGGATTAAGATGTATAAATTGCCAGTTACAAAAACAGTCAGAGGGCTGTAAAGTTCCGTATAGGGAATATAGTCAATAATTTTGTAATAAGTATGTATGGTGTCAGATGTGTACTAGACTTATCTGGGTGATAACTTAGTAAGTTATATAAATGTCTAATCACTATGTTGTATGCATGAAACTAATATAATGTTGAATGTCAAATGTAATTAAAAATTTGACAAGTAAAGAAAAAAAAAAGTGGAGAAGCCATCACTTGGAAGTGTATTTACAATATGCCAGTATTCTATCCTTTTGACTATTTGAATTTATGATGAAAACCTTCAGAGGACAATATAGCACATACATAGTAATGAGTTGTTCCCTCAAAATATTATGGTCCCTGGGATCAGTGACCCTTGAAGGTTTCAAACAGAATGAAAACACTGGAAACCACAGAGCTTTTCATATTGCTTTTATGGAAATGCTGTGATTATTTCACCATTTTTATGCTATTTACTATTTGTTATTCTCTTTTGCACATTTAGCAATTATTTATTTGAGAAATTTTAGTAGGAAATGGCTAGAGAATTTTATCAAATGCATTGTCACCATTTGTTGTAAATGTGACTGTCTCCTTTTTAAATTAACATAGAGTTCAATCATTTTCCTAATATGGAACCATCCTTGGGTTCCTAAAATACACTCTTCTAGGTATGTATTTATTATATTATTTTTTTAATTTTTTAAAAATTAAACTATTACCTTTGTACATATACCATTGCCCACCCTTTTCCATACATGCCCTCCCTCACCAGAGTTTTGTGTCCATTGGTTGTACTTATATGCATGTATATAAGTCCTTCGGTTGATCTATTATCTCCCCCAGGTCTCCCTACCCTCCCCGCTGCAATTTGACAGTCTGCTTGTTGCTTTATGTATTTATTAGATTAAACTGTACAGGTAATTTTCTTACACAAAGGTGGTTCTGAATTTTTGTAGGAGAATACCTTTCACTGTAGGAGATGCATATTCAAGAATGTCATGATGCCTGTGACTTACTTTCAAACAATTAAGCAAATTACAGTGATAATAGATTATTTGCATGTGTGCCAGTCACAACAAATGTTAACAATTTATTGCATCTGATTGGAGAGCAGGTAGGTGTATGTGTTTTTTCTAAATTGTCTGCATAATTAAATATTGTGATGAAAGATTTGAAAAATTACAGGATTTTATTAGCTCATGTGTTAGGAATTTTTGCAGTCATGTTTGCAGTCATGTAATTAATTTAGAAAAGATTCCAGTTTTGTTATGGGAATTTTTATGGGCACTAGAGCTAGGTAGCACCTTTGTAAGATGACTTAGAAGCTTCCAGAGCTCAATGTGATTGGTCTCTAAGGCCATTTTATGTTGATCTGTGCGTTATGTGTTTTTGTCTTTCAGCAAGATTAATCTGACTGAAATTTTTATCTCTTGAGGTGATTTTGATAACTTTTGTTTTCAAGAAAGTTTCCTATTTTGTATAAAATGTTAAGTGTATTGAAATGAAAATGTACAGTCTTCTTAATAATCTTTTTTATATCTAATGATATTTCTAGTTTTATTTAGAAAATGCTAATTTTTCTTGGTTTGTCAGAGATTTAGGTACTTGGCTTCTTTTCAACAACACACTTTTAGTCCTGGCCAGTTTGCTCAGTGGTTAGAGTGTCAGCCTGTGAATCAAAGGGCCAGGGGTTCAATTCCCGGTCAAGGGCATTTCCTAGGTTTCGAGTTCACTTTGCAACACAGGTAGGAGTGTGCGCAGGAGTCAATGCGTCTCTGAAGGCACATAGATATTTCTCGCTCGCTCGCTTTCTCCCTTTCCTCCCCCTTTGCTCCCCCTATCTTCCCCTCAACTCTGAAAAAGCAATGAGGAAAAAAAAATCTTCTGCTGAGGGTTAACAACAACAAAAACACACCAACAAAACAAGCTTTTAGTTTTATCCACCAATGGAGTATTTGCTTCCCAATTTGTTTTTACATTTCCTTATTCAATTCTTCCTCCTTTTCTATTGGTTTTATTTTTTGTAGTTCCTTAGATTGAATGCACATTTTGTGTATTTTCAGACTTGCTAAATAGAAAATAATATTGTTTTACTCCTCTAAAAATGATTTTTAGAAGGACATTTTTATCCCTTGAATGCCCCAAGACATCAGAAACAAGATATAACTTTGTCAGTGATAGATAAACATATTTTATATACAAAAAAAAAAAGACAAAAAATCCAGTTCACAAAGAACATTGACAAATTAAGAAGCAAGCAAGCCAACAAAAGTGCATAAGAAGAAAAATCTGAGAAAACGCAATGGTCAGTGATTCTAGAAAGACAAAAGGAGTGTCTTTAAAACACACCATTACTATTATATATGTTTTTAAGAAATTATAATACTGTTTACCTGGTATTAAATGCAGCTTTTTCAGAAAGAAACCAGCAAACACACTTCAAGATGAAACAGCAAATACAACTCAGTCTTTGTGTTGATTTTATAGGAGACAGGATCTTGATTAGATAATTGCAATAACAAGGATTCTTCATAGATTGGTTTTCCCTCAGATGTTGATGGTGCTGGTTTCATCTGGCTTCACCCGTTGATGGTGTGGTCATGATGAGGGAAGCCTCCTTCTCAGCT